ATATATATATATTTCTAAAATGCAAGTCTCCTTTGTGATCTCTACCTCCGAAAGGCAATTACGAGATCATATATAGCGTTATAATAATAATTGTAAATATGATTATATTGGAATAAGTTAAAGGCTAAATTATCACGTGCTGGAATAACTTTAAAAGCTAAATAATCGCAGGTTAGAGCGACTTAAAAGCTGAAATGTTCGTAGAAAAAGAAAAAAGATAAGAGTGTCTAATATGAAAAGTTTGCTTCCGAATATACTTGAAGATCGTATCAAACTTCAATCGGCCATCATTCGTGCGTGCAACTATCAATAATTAACAGAACAACTTCGATTTTCCTTCTTCGGATAGCTATTATGGAATGTTATTTTTTTTGTAAAATAGTTTCAGTAGTAATTAAACAGCGGATTTTTATACAGTTCCATTCCAACGAAATGGAATCCGCGTAAAGATTTATTTCACGCGCTAAAATACCTAATAAGCACCTGCCTGCGTCGCTGGTCAATATTTTCTACATCGTGTTTCACGCGTTTTCGCACTTCGGAACACTTACCTTTTACCGAGCCGGTAAAAATCCTCGGTCCATTAATACTTTTCAATTTCCCCTCTCCAAATAATTATCCTATACATCAACCTGCGCTCGATCGAGAAAATGTCACGTTGAACGAGCGGACGCGGCGGATAATCGCAAAAAACGAGCAACAGACGAGCCTAACCGCGATGAGAGTGTGTTCCCTCTTTTTCTCCTCTCTCCCCGTCTCGTCGCGAGACTTTTTGCACCCTCAGATAAATGTCGCGCGATCACGGTGACGTCGGCCGCCGCGGAAATTAATTTCTTCTCGATAGAATCTTAACGACGAATGGGACCCCCGCGGTACGCAACTTACGTATGAGCCGTTTTATCGGCGTTTTACAATCGGCGTGTTACACACAGTTGTTTGCTCGGAATTTTTCGAGACAGAGAAAGAAGAGAGGTTATAGCCGGTTCAGCTGTTTGCACGATTTATCGTGTCCGATCATCGTTGGACAACTCGCTCGAGTATAAGAGTCCTCGAGTTTTTCCTCTCTTTTTTTTTTCTTTTTTTTTTCCTCTCTATCCGCATGAAGGATCGTTCTTAAAAACCGGGCCGATAAATAGTTCTCGAGCAAATATTTAAGCTCCCTGGAATTTCCTCCTGGCGCGCCGGGGTTCACCTGGGGAACTTGGCGAACGCGTCGCGTTCTAACGCTTAATAGCCATCCTCTGTTTGCTCGGAACGAATTACGCGAATTACGCTCGTTCGTATTTAAAACGGGCGTTTAAAAAACAGTTAGAGTAGTATACTATAAATAGTAGCGTGTAACGCTATCTCGCTAGCTCAGGCTCTGGATCATCAGTTTCTATTTTCGTTTCATTTAGCTTTGGGAAATGTATTTTTCTTTTATTACGTACTGGAACAATTAATTGGAGCAAAGAAGCATCAAATAAAAAAGTATATATATAGCATAGAATGTACTTTTTTATTCGTATTTTATATGTGTAGAACATAGAATTTTATTAATTGTTTTTTAAGTATCATGTCTGTGAAAGTAGTTTATATCTACAAAAGTATCTTATTACTGGAACAATTAATAAAGGTAAAGAAGCATTACATCTATACACATTGAGAAATGTAGAACGAGCAGTCTTGAG